ATCCATAAAAATTAGTGCAAATGAGCACTTACACTAATTCAAAAAATGACTAAGAGTAATTTCCACCAAAGCAAGAACACACTCAAAATATACTAACTCTTATTTGTGGCGGCAGTTTTTGTCTCTATCGAGTATAGTCTACCCAGCTGGATTTTACTCATTTGCTCGAGTGAGAGGCTGAAAATAATTTCAATGAGTTTAATATTATTTGTGTTCTGCTTTGTTCTACATCAGTGTTGGCATTTTTGGTAAAATTGTACTTTTTTGATACAATTTCGTTTACTACGCAGTACTTTTTAGTACAATTTTGTGATGAATACTATAAATATATGTGACCTGGTCTACGGAAAGGGGGCTTAGGTGTCAAAAAATCAATTTTCACTTTTTGGTTGATTCGGATGGAAGATGAGATGCTTTTTCACGTGGTGAAAAGCAGAAAATCCTAACTTGCTTAGAAGTGATGTATGTATACATGTGCACACCAGAATTGAACTTATATTGAATTCGCCACACATATACCTTAGAGTGGCCTATATATATATTTATATATAGGCGTGTATATTAAAATGAAAAATAAAACGTGATAAATATGCAATGAAAATGTGTAAGTATAAGGTATACAAAAATAAAAAGCTATAATAATAAATTGTGTGATAATTCGAGATTATAACCAAAATAAAGTAAGAATATTCTGCTAATAATAGGAAAAGGTAATCTAAAGGGGTAATGATAATCGAAATAACGTAGATAAAGTGCGCTTAGAATTAATTCGAATAAATTTCAAAAGAAACTGGGTTTTTTCTTCAGAACGCAACTTTACTTTTATTTGTTCGCTTTTGTTAAAAATTGTACGTACAATTATTATGGATTTTGTTTTTGTTGTTGGCTTATGTAAGTATGAACATATTCAGTTTTGCTTCGGTGTGTGTTGGTGGTGCCTTGGCGAGGTCATTGAAGGAGTGTTGGTCCGTGAGTGTAGCACAACAGCCTTCGGAGTATTGGCTCCAATCGCGCTGCTACACTTACCCTTAACACAGCTCACGCTGGCGTCCTTAGAAGGCACTCTGAAAATGAGACTGGCCACACCCCCATATTTGCCAGTTGGGCACAAATCACCTGTGATGATCATAAGTGATGATACCCTCTGACCCTACACGTCCGATAGAAAATAGAGTAAATATGATAGTGGAATGCAAGGAGAAAAACTACGGTTGCATGCCATGGTCGTTGCTACACAAACAAAAAGTTAATCGTGCCTGGTGATATGGAGAATTACTAGTGCGGATGGTCATAAATAACAAAGAAAAATAAGAAAAAAAGAGAGAGAAAGCACTATAGAGAAATGGTCCAGTCCCGTCCTGTCAGGTGGAGTCATCCCACCCTTCTTCAACATGAACTCCACGCGAAGCCTTGGGCTTTGGCGTGACTCTTCACTTAACTTACAACGCCCCCTGAGCCTGACGTCAGTCCGTCTATCTAACAGTCTGTCAATTCTAAGTCAGTTGTCGTTCCGTCTGTACACTCCCTCTTCCCCTCTGTTGCACAAGTGCAACACCCACACCAAAAACTTGTGCTCAGCACTCCATGATTGCCCTCACTACTTATTCAGAAAATACAAATGATTCAACGCATGTTTTCTCTTTTCCCTCTTTACTCCACAATTAACAAATTTATTAATTCCTAGGTTTCTTTTTTTTTGTTTAAATAATATTCAAAGAAATATCCGAATACCAGAGTTGTGAAAAACGCATTAAATTTTTTAAGGCATAGCATTTTAATGTAAATGAAAAAGATTAAGGCATTAATTTTTGATATTTAATGTAAATGAAAATTTCAATGCATTAATTCCGAAGAAATAATGCTAATGATTTTTTTTGTATTAACATTAAAATGTTTAAATGAATGCTATTGCAATAATTTATTCCATTAAAATTATAAAAAGCATTAAAAACCCATTAACTAATTTTATTTTGAAGTAAAAATTCTTTGCTGACGTTGAGGGTAGAATTTTAAGGTCAAAAAAGATAGTGACGGACGTTAAGGCTGGTTTTCACTATGTCAAGTTCAATGGCATTTGTCGTTAAATAGGTCAAATCACATTGTCAAAGGGAGCTAAAAAACGGTTTATTGATTGATTTAGATCAGAGTAGGTCCTCAGTCGTGTACATGCGCTGCTAAACTGGCTATCTGTCCGTTTTTAACTACATGAACGTTGGAAAACTAAAGCTGATGTCACATAAAACTTTTGCTTCGCTTTACGTGACAGATTCGCTTTGACAGATAAGATGAATTGTATGAAAATGCACAAAGCATGCCACATAAATCGTTGAAGCGGCAGCGCGAAGCGAAAAGATGGTCAACTCCCATCTTTTTGCGCGCTTTGACAATCAGCCGGTTTAATATTTATTTTGTTTCGTCCAAATTCGGGTTTTCATGCAGAAACATAAAACTTAATTACATTGCTGAGAATTTTAAATCAAAATAATTAAAATCCACAGCAACTTTGATGAGTAAAAAAGCGGTACAACATTGTTTTCTTGGCGTTCATTGTGGCATACCTTTTGCGTCTGGCGCTTTGCTGGCAAAGTTATAAATGTCACGCAAAGCTACAAAGTTTTATCTGGCATCAGCTTAAGGTTGTTTATGGGTTGGTTCTCAGTTCAATATTCATATTGGATATCGAAGGTCATTTTCGAATGTTCGCCAAAATATTTATTGGGCATGTACAAGCGACGAGAAAGCTAAGGCACACTAACACACTCTCACTTTTAGCTCACACTTCCCAGTAAACATTTTGGCGAACGTTCGAAAATGACCGATATCCAATATGAATATTGAACTGAGAACCAACCTATAAACAACCTTAGTTTTCCAACGTTCATAGCATATTGGAAATACAGTCGAGATGGGTTCGAAAAAAAATGGAAACCATAGTAACAAGAGAGAAAATGAAATCCAGCTCATTCTCGAAGAAAATAACTCTCTCATATTAAAATTCCAATTCGATAGTGGGCTAGATTTCGAATTCATAACGAAAGAAAAATACATTGGATAACAAGGGTTCCGTTTTGCTGGAGAATGGCCTAGTTCTCGAAGTAAATACTAACCTATTTCACATTCATTATCGAAGGTGAGACTCGAAAAAAGATTGGTTTTCCAATTGTTTTCGAATTGTTAACCAAACCGAATGTTTATTGGGTTGTTTATGGTGGCGCTCGCATGTCGCACAGTGTTGGGAAATGCAATTGTTCCTTCAGTACGAAATCTATACAAAAACTATACTTTTCGACTGTAAATTGCATCGACTTTTTAATTTGCTCATATATTTTCTTAGTACATGCATACATAGATTCCCTTCAAGATCAATGATTTGATGGTATTCATGGGAAAGTTTATGTAGGTACATTTTACACTTTGAACATAAATGTGTATGCACATATTTTAAGGTACACTTCTTAACAAACACATTTTTTAAGTTATTATGCATGGATAAAGCATACATCTTCTTTGAATTCAGTACTAAAGTTTGACATTTTATTTTTAGTATTTCAGTGCTTATCAAAACTTTACGACACTCACATATTGACAAGATTGGCCATTTATCTTAAAATTATCTAATTTTAATTATTTGTTTATAAAAATGCAGTTTATACTCTAATAAAACCCCAAGGGTAAATTTTTGCGCAACATTAAAAATATCAACAAACTTTCGTAAAAATTCCGGGCTTTTAACTTGATTTCCTAGAAATACATGTTTTGAGAATGCCGTTTGTAGTCCGATCAATGTAAATGAAGTGCAGGTTTAAAATAGCTGCGACTTATCGTTGATTTTTAATATATATATATTTTTTTTTGATGAAGGTGTTGCTCATTTTCTTCGTTAAAAAAAAACGCGTTTAGATAATATGACATTGACGGCAAATTCCAGCCGCTTTAAACTTGCACTTTATTATACTAAAATTGAAATAGAAATCTGGAGACTTTTACGAAAGTTTATCGATTTTTTTAATGTTGTTAAAAGATTTAAACTTTTTTTCATACAGTTTTTGTTAAGGAATTAACAATATTTTTATAAAGAAATAATTAGAATTAAAAAATAATAAAATAAGTAGTCAACTCTAGTCAATATATGAGTGTCGTGAGTTATGATATTTAAGAACATAAAAAATTAACGATGACACTGTTTCTAACTATATGAAGCTGATTTCGACATTTTGTTTTAATAAGATTTAGTATCGAAAATATTCTTTCAAAACTTGCCTAGGAACGTGAGGTTGATAGCACACCTTTTGCTATGTTATAATGGTTATTTCAAAACCTTTTTTCAAAACTTACAAAGGCAAAAACGAGAAGGCGAAGACAAAAAGATAAAACGAATTCCCACAGTGAATTTTCGAAGCTACGTATATGTGACCTGGTCTACGAAAAGGGAGCTTACGTGCGAAAACTAGTTTTCTGTGAAAAAGCTGTTAAAAGTAAGCAACTCGTTTCGTCAGTTTCTCATTATCTCGTTAATTGTTCTCCGCGCCGGACGTCCAGTAAGTGTTGTTGTTGGTCCAGTAAGTGTTGTTGTTGGTCCAGTAAGTGTTGTTGTTGGTCCAGTAAGTGTTGTTGTTGGTCGGAATATTATTAT